GGGGGGGATTTTGGAGACGTGAGTAAGTGGAGGACTTGATAAGATAAAATTGCTAGGAAGTTGGAATTCCATGGAAAATAAAATCTCACTCAATCCAAAGAAAATATTTTCATTGTTTTCAAGGAAACTCAGGTCACGTGATGAATAGTGGGAAAATATTTTCCATGGAAAAATTGGTTAATCAAACAGCACAAAATAGAGAATTTAGGTGGAAAACAGACATTTTCCATGGAAAATGTTGGCAATCAAACGTACTCTTATTTTAAATTCTTCTTCTTCATTGCTACGGGCACTCGCGTGATGCTTAGTTTGCCGCCCACTCCATCTCCGATGGTGGCTGGGGAGACTCAACCGCCTAGGTTATCTCCATCATTTCCTTAAACTTGGTAGACTGTAATAAATGCAGGACCTTAGAGGTGATGGTGGGGGTTGGGATCAAATGATTTCGCTTGAGTCAGATCTGATGGTGGTTGGAAGTGGTGGACATGGGATGGGTTGCCCCGAGTTGTGGGTTGTGATGGTTTTTGTGGTTTTTATGGACAAAGGATGACCTTTTGAAGTCATGGTTGGAAGTGTTTTTCGTGATGATTTTGTGTTAGTTTTTGAGATGATTTTGTGGTGGTTTTATGGTGGTGATGTGCTAGTAATTGTCACATGTTTTTTTTTTTTTTTTTCTTGTAATTTTCACTTTTTTTTTTTTTTTTTTTTTTTTTATGTCAAATATTGTTTTTATATTTTGTGGTGGTGTTGGTTGTAGTGATAAGTCACATGTAACCAGGTTTTAGATCATTGCGCATAAGTTACAAATAAATGCATACAAGTCGCAGATCAAAAAGAACTGGTCATAGATCATGTTTGTATGTCACAGGTCATGCTTCGCAGGCTGGTGACACTCAACAGGTCACATATCAATGTCAAAAGGTCACTAATTACAGATCAAAATTAATTGGTCACAGACCATATGTTATATGCCTTTGTATACTGATAACAAGTTATAGATTTAAGTTCGCATGTCACAATTTATATGTTACTGGTTATATGTGAATGTCATATTGCATAGATAGCAAAGCAATGTACATAGGTCACAGATCCAAAAGAACTAATCATATGCCATTAGACTGAGTCACATGTTAAAGTGAGGTCATTGATAGCAAATTCAAGAGAAATGGTAACATGTCATTGATTTCTCCGACCTCAGTTATCCGAATTGGCCACAAATTCACAAATTCAATTTAACATATTTTGATCTTTTGATACACAAAGCCGACAACTTCCAATTTGTGAGCTCAATCGTCAACGGGTCTCAATTAACTAGATTTCGACAACGAGAATCGAAGTTATTTGCTCTGATAAGTTCTTTGTAGATTTTATCTTTATTCGATCTTTTGATAGTATCCAATTTGTGACCTCAATTGTCTGTTGATTTTCAATCAACTAGATTCCGACAATGATAATCGAGAATAGGAATTGTATTTGTGGCTTTTCTTCATGTTATGTGGTGAATTTGTATTTTGAAGAGTCAAGTTTGAGATAGCAATGAATGCTTGATTTAGAAATCTAATTTAGCCTTTGCCCCCATTATTTGATGTTTTAATTTTTGGAATAGTGTTAAAAAAGAAGAAATTTTTTTTGGCTTATGTATAATATTATTATATTGTAGAACGTATGGTTAAAAAGAAGAGAGAGAAAAATGAATTATAAATTTAATGGAGCTCAAACGTGGGATATTAATATATGGAGAAAATTCATAAGAGTTTAAGTATTACACATTTCAAAATCAAGAAAACAAGTTTCAAATTTCAAAAATTAGATTTTTATTAAGATTTATTTATGATTTAATTAATTAATTAAATATATTAAGGTCACAGATCTATGTAATTTGATAACAAATCAACGATTTAGTTAGTCACATATTATTTTTCGGTCACAAATAAAAATTTTTATACTGGAAATTACACCCATCCATACTTTTAAATATCCAACTTCAAAAATCATATCCAAAGTTTTTTTTGAACAAATATAAGATAATGATTCAAATTTTTAATATTAATAATATTCAATTAAATATTAAATATAATAACACAAATTTGATCCAACCACTCCCCAAACCTTAATCAATTTCAATTAAATATTAAATATAATAACACAAATTTGATCCAACCACTCCTCAAACCCTAATCATCTTTCTCTCAGCAACGATTGGATACCACTATAGTGGCGAGGTAGGCTGTGGCGATGACATTGTTACAGTGGCTTGAGCATCGTTGCACTGTGTGGAGGGCGTAGGGACGATGACGTCGCTGAGTGCAGAGTGAGCGTCGCTTCGTAGTTTGGGAGAAATCTGGTGGGGACACGATTTGGGAAGAATCTAATTTTTTTTTTGGGTTTTTGCGAAGGTTTGAGATCGTGATCGTTGCTGTACGAATCAAGTAATGGTGGAGTTCAGATGACAGGGTGTGGTGGTGTGCTATTTGGTTGGTATGGTGACGATGTTTGCAGTTGGTGGTGGTGGAGGAGTAGAGATTGGGTGATACGTAGCTCGTTGTTCGGTTGGTATAGTGGTTGTATAGGTGGTTGATGGTGGTGAAGCATTGGTTTTGGTTGTTGGAGTGGTGGTGGTGACAGCTTCTATATTTTGGTGGTGGCAAGCAGTCAACGATGGTAAAATTTCAGCTTGGTGATAGTGGTGAGGTGATGTTCACAAGTGTTGGCGGTGGTCACGAATGATTTGGTTGGCTGTGGCCTTTAAATTGGTTAATCTGTGACCAATGAAACAATAAATTGTGATACAAAAATAATGCGTGACCTAAAAAATTGTCAATTTGTGACCAATGATTTATGACTATATAATAAGTTGTGACTTATTATATTTGTGATTTGTGACTGATTATTAAACGTGACTTATAAATTTTTGACTTGTGATCGATGAACACATTGTGATCTATAAATTTTTTAAATTATGTCTGTAAAATAATTTGTCATATAAAAATGGGAAAAATTCACAAGAGTTTATGTATCACACATTTCAAAAAAAAAAAAAAAAACAAGTTTCAAACTTCAAAAATCAACTTTGATTAAAATTTATTTATGAATTAATCAATTAATTAAATATATTAAGATAATAGATCTATGTAATGTAATCACAAATTAACGGTTAGTTAGCCACATATTATTTTTCGGTTACACATCAAAATTTTTATATATCACAAATTATTTTATGTTCACAATTTAAAATTTTTATAGGACATAATTTGTTGATCATTCACAAGTCAAAAATTTATGATTCATGATTTATTAATCGACCACAAATCACAAATATAATAAGTTGTGACTTATTATATATAGTCATAAATTATCAAATTATTGGTCAAAAATTGATATTTTTTAGGTCTTACATTATTTTTTATCACAATTTATCGTTTTCATTGGTCACAGATTAACCAATTTAATTGTCACAATCAACCAAATCATTTGTGACCATTGCCAACACTTGTGACCACCACCTTGATACTATCGCCAATCTGAAATTTTACCAACGTCGATCGCTCGCCACCGCCAAAATATGGAAGTTGTCACCACTACCACTCCAACAACCAAAACCAATGCTTCACTGCCATAAACCATTTGTACTACCACTGCACCAATCGAACAACGAGCCACGTATCACCCAACCTCTACTCCATCACCATCACCACCACCACCACCACCACCACCACCACCACCAGCACCAACAACTACAAACACCATCACCCTACCAACCAAATAGCACACCACCACATTGCGTCATTTGAACTCCACCACCGCACCATCTCCGTCATGCGCGGCGCCATCGCCACATCTTGATTCGTGCAGATGATCACCACCCATACTGCCACTATCACTTGCATCACCATCAATAATTGTAAACACCATCACTGTATTGCCACACAGCACTCCACCATCGCACCATCTCTGTCGCGCACGGCACCTTTGCCACTACTTGATTCGTGCAACAACGATCACCATCTCAAATCTTCGCAAAAACCCCAAAAAAATCAGATTCTTCCTAGATCGAGCCCCCACCAAATTTTGCCAAACTGCAAAGCGACGCTCACTTTTCCCTCAGCGATGTCATCACCCCTACGCCCTTCACATAGTGCAACGATGCTCAAGCCATTGAGAGAAAGAAGAGAAGATGAAATTGATTATGGTCAGGGGAGTGGTTGGATGAAATTTGTGTTATAGTATTTAATATTTAATATTTACTTGAATATTATTAATATTAAAAGTTTGAATCAATATCTAATTTTTGTACCAACAAACTTTGGATATGATTTTGAAGTTGGATCTTTAAAAGCATGAATGGGTGTAATTTCCACTTTATATATATACACACACACACCCCTAAACATTACCTGTTCTACATTGGACTCAATATCATTGTCCATTTACACGCTTGGAACAAATCCGTCCTCATAGCATGTAAGGAGGCCCAAATTAAATGACACGAATACGTAGCTTGCTGATTTCGTATTCCCTAATTGTTAACGTAGTCAATTAGAGAGAGAGAGAGAGAGAGAGTGAGGGATTAACTGAATCATCAAAACGTATATTCACACCGTTTTCACTAACAAAAAATTTGAAAATCCCAAAGCATCCCGCCTTTTCAAACTGCAGAGTAATTAAAATTACAAAATCAAAATGGTTTCGCGAACAGTGAAAGCTTCTTTTCCATCAAAGATCGAACGCACTGTCGCCTCCGCACTTCTCCTCCTCTCCTCCTCCTCTTCAATGTAAATTCTATCAAAACTGATAATTCATCCAAATCATTCTCTATTATGTTTTGCGTTTTTATCAAACTTGATTGATTATCGCTGTTGTACTTGTTTATTTGAGTTTCTTCAGAGGAAGCTGCAGTTCTGAGAGCTTCATGAATCCAAAACTCTCGATTTCGAATTCGAGCAATGGAATTTCGAGCACTGTGATGACTGTAGATGATGAATCATCGACTGCAACAGCGTCAGCTGGAGATCCTAGGCTGAAGGTGATCGCGTTTGTGAATCGGTTCCATGAAATGAAGCTCAAAATGATAGCAAACTGCTAACTGATTGCTTTCTCGAAGTCTCGGAAATATTTTATCTATTGAAACTACTTTTGCTTTGACTTTTGATCTTTGATAAGTTGGCGTTGATGAGTTTTCCACTGAAAATTTAGTTGTATATGATTTGCTCTGTTTTGTTTATGTTGATAATATTTCTTTTGGAATAAGTCTCTTTTTATTACACCTCCGATAATTGTTATTCATTTATATTTAAGTTGCTTTTGAAATAATGCAATCGTTTGTCCTGGAACACTAATATAATTGATTATGCTTCATGAATAGTTTTCATGCGTATTTTTATTGGACATTCCACATAAAGGCAGATCTATTTGATTCCTATCTTTCATACTATAGTTAACTCACTTTTCCAGTTCCATGCATAACTAACAGTTATTTATACTGAACCGGCGCTGAACATCCAACTTTTTCAGACTCCTTCTGGTGACACGAAATAAATTGCACAACAGTTTATGTAGATCTTGTATAGACCTCAGAACATGCCAAATATGAAAAAAGGAATCAACACCTGGTTAAGCATGGAAATTACCATTAATGTACTGCAGGGTTGAATTCTGATCGTGTTATTGTTGATCGAGTGCTTTATCATAAATTTTACAAAAATTGATTGCAAAAGTTCGCGATACTTGTCACGAACAAAATTTTTAGCGTGCTAGCATTTGATTAACTATATGATTATTCCGATTGTTTTAGGTATGCAATTAAAACTTGAACGTTATATTTGGTTCATATGAAATAATGCTTTCATTTTTCAGTTCTAATTTGATTCATAGAGATGAGCTACTCTCTGTTTTCTGTTCATCCAAACTTCATTGTCCTTCTATTCTGCAGCGCAGTATTAAAATTGACCTGTACTTGAATTTACTTGATCTGTATAAATGCTGCCACTACTGTTTGAAGACTTTCATAATCTTTTTGTGATTTTATTAGGTAAATGTGGTGCTTTAGGTAATTAAGTTTTTACTGTCCTTTGATTGAAACATTACTCTGGTTGACTGAATTTTCTTAATATCTTAGCTTTAACCTTGAAACAGCCTAGAGAATTGATTAGTGATATTTGGATCAGTCGAGTTCAGTTTCTTCTTTAAAATACAGTAATCATATTGAATTCAACACATTTTGTGTGTACCAAAAAATGATCATCTCAACAATTAATCCCAAATTTTTTTATGTAAAGTTCTGTCTAATTGTTTTCATAATGCTACAAAACTTTTAAATTTCTCAGATCGTGCGAAAGAAACGTTCGAAGAGCATCTGGATCTCCGATTGCAAAAAACTGACTTCCGGCAAGCTAGAAATTTTGCCCGATCAGGTGCCGGAATCTTCTGACTCTGCGTCTGAGATAATTATGACTGAGGTTTCATCATGCTTGTCCAGTGGCTCCAGTTCTGTTTCCAGTGCTCAAAGCTGCACCAATGTTTTTAGTGTTACTGACAAATCGAGGAAACCAGTTGGCTCAAATCATATGGGACACCGAGCTGAGGCCATACTTAGGGTTCTATCTGTTGGGAGTGCTTCTGAAGTGAAGATCCGTGAATTGCTTGGTGACAGCCCTTCCACCAGCAAAGCATTAAGAATGTGAATACCAAATCTCTCTCTTTCTTTGTGCCTTTGTTACAAAACACAACACTTAGATGAATACAATGCAGTATGCATTGCATTATTGATTTCTTCAGAGGAAGCTGCAGTTCTGAGAGCTTCATGAATCCAAAACTCTCGATTTCGAATTCGAGCAATGGAATTTCGAGCACTGTGATGACTGTAGATGATGAATCATCGACTGCAACAGCGTCAGCTGGAGATCCTAGGCTGAAGGTGATCGCGTTTGTGAATCGGTTCCATGAAATGAAGCTCAAAATGATAGCAAACTGCTAACTGATTGCTTTCTCGAAGTCTCGGAAATATTTTATCTATTGAAACTACTTTTGCTTTGACTTTTGATCTTTGATAAGTTGGCGTTGATGAGTTTTCCACTGAAAATTTAGTTGTATATGATTTGCTCTGTTTTGTTTATGTTGATAATATTTCTTTTGGAATAAGTCTCTTTTTATTACACCTCCGATAATTGTTATTCATTTATATTTAAGTTGCTTTTGAAATAATGCAATCGTTTGTCCTGGAACACTAATATAATTGATTATGCTTCATGAATAGTTTTCATGCGTATTTTTATTGGACATTCCACATAAAGGCAGATCTATTTGATTCCTATCTTTCATACTATAGTTAACTCACTTTTCCAGTTCCATGCATAACTAACAGTTATTTATACTGAACCGGCGCTGAACATCCAACTTTTTCAGACTCCTTCTGGTGACACGAAATAAATTGCACAACAGTTTATGTAGATCTTGTATAGACCTCAGAACATGCCAAATATGAAAAAAGGAATCAACACCTGGTTAAGCATGGAAATTACCATTAATGTACTGCAGGGTTGAATTCTGATCGTGTTATTGTTGATCGAGTGCTTTATCATAAATTTTACAAAAATTGATTGCAAAAGTTCGCGATACTTGTCACGAACAAAATTTTTAGCGTGCTAGCATTTGATTAACTATATGATTATTCCGATTGTTTTAGGTATGCAATTAAAACTTGAACGTTATATTTGGTTCATATGAAATAATGCTTTCATTTTTCAGTTCTAATTTGATTCATAGAGATGAGCTACTCTCTGTTTTCTGTTCATCCAAACTTCATTGTCCTTCTATTCTGCAGCGCAGTATTAAAATTGACCTGTACTTGAATTTACTTGATCTGTATAAATGCTGCCACTACTGTTTGAAGACTTTCATAATCTTTTTGTGATTTTATTAGGTAAATGTGGTGCTTTAGGTAATTAAGTTTTTACTGTCCTTTGATTGAAACATTACTCTGGTTGACTGAATTTTCTTAATATCTTAGCTTTAACCTTGAAACAGCCTAGAGAATTGATTAGTGATATTTGGATCAGTCGAATTCAGTTTCTTCTTTAAAATACAGTAATCATATTGAATTCAACACATTTTGTGTGTACCAAAAAATGATCATCTCAACAATTAATCCCAAATTTTTTTATGTAAAGTTCTGTCTAATTGTTTTCATAATGCTACAAAACTTTTAAATTTCTCAGATCGTGCGAAAGAAACGTTCGAAGAGCATCTGGATCTCCGATTGCAAAAAACTGACTTCCGGCAAGCTAGAAATTTTGCCCGATCAGGTGCCGGAATCTTCTGACTCTGCGTCTGAGATAATTATGACTGAGGTTTCATCATGCTTGTCCAGTGGCTCCAGTTCTGTTTCCAGTGCTCAAAGCTGCACCAATGTTTTTAGTGTTACTGACAAATCGAGGAAACCAGTTGGCTCAAATCATATGGGACACCGAGCTGAGGCCATACTTAGGGTTCTATCTGTTGGGAGTGCTTCTGAAGTGAAGATCCGTGAATTGCTTGGTGACAGCCCTTCCACCAGCAAAGCATTAAGAATGTGAATACCAAATCTCTCTCTTTCTTTGTGCCTTTGTTACAAAACACAACACTTAGATGAATACAATGCAGTATGCATTGCATTATTGATGTGGAAGCACGTCCCCTTTGATAGGAATAAGACAAACAGTAATTTCTTAATGTTGACATTCAGTAACATTATATAATGTTAGCTCCTGAGTTCACAAAATCTGGTCATTTGCAGGTTGCTGAAGCTAGAGGAGGTAAAGAGGTTTGGCGCGGGGGGTCGTGGCAATCCCTATATTTACATGGTAAGCATATATTTATCCACTGTTCTCGTAGGAAATATTTTGTACATGCTGAGAATATTCCGCAACCATTAAAGAAAGGACATATAGTATTGTTATTTCTGCTTTGTTGTGAGAATATTTGCCATACAGAGAACTTTTAATGGCTTGCAATATAATATAACAAAACCTGGTCTATTGATCTATTCAATCGGTACATAAACAGAGAAACGGGAATAGAAGTATAGTTTAGGATGTTACTAATTTAACAAGACATGAGAACTGAAACTAGATTTTATGAAACCATGATTGTAACGTGCATATTGAAAAACATTTCTAATGTCAATCTCCAGGGAAGTTGAACCATCATTGCCATATGAGTTTCGTGAATGAATATGATATTCTTTTCTAAAATATTTTCGATAATTATCAAATTATCTTATCTTTTTCAGATAGCATGATCAACTAGGAAGTGTAACAATCGGCTGTACCAAGTCTGGTGAAGCATAACACGATAGGAAGAATTTTGGTTTGACAGAATTAGGGCAAGATATATAGTATATATATGTATACAACTTCATGTTGCTATTATTGTTTAGCAAATACGTATATAAAAGATCATGCTTTGTAATAGAACAAAGTTTCTTACAGTTGCACCTTGTGCTTTTATTAAGTTCTTTAATTGTAAATGTCTAGTTTAATAATAGTAAAATGGTTTAAGGCATTTATCACTTGTTCCCCTGTCAAAACTGCCTTGATGCAATGTGATCCAAATTTGACTTTCTTCAAATAAATCTCAACGTGTATAGACTCGAATTTTATCTCCCTTGTTACGATAATTGGACTTATGGGTTGAAAGAGGGTTGTTTATTTATTTATTTTTTTTTATTTTTTATTTTTTTAAGTCTTATTTATCAATGTAAAACTTACTTGCATGCTTTTAACCAAGTTTGAAGTCTTGGCACTTATTTAAAATCCTAAGAAACGAGAGGTTGAATTACTTTTCTTTGGTTGCTTGCTTACTTTTCAAGTACTTCTCTTTCTGGTCAGAACTTGATCACAATGGAAAGAGTTTGTTATACACAATTCAAGGACCAACTTTGAGATAATAATCTTGCATAATCAGGTCACCATACTTGTGTATTTTCACTGCCTTCTCCAGACCCGAATTTGCGTTACTGTATTATAGTTTTGGCGTGTTGGGAGTTATATCGACGTTGTGTAATGGAGAGGTTGAGTTTAAATTCAAACCCAACTCTCTCAACCTCCCTCTAAACTATTGCCATGTAACTCTGGTCAGATCAACCCACATACGCGATTTGTTTTACACCAATGTTTTTTACTTGCACATGATGAGCTTGACCTGATTTTAATGTAATATCAATTATATCTATCTCAAGATCTCCAAGTTCATTCACGTAAATGGATTGTGCGACAGATGAGTTAATTTAAGAACACACAATATTGTACACTTGTTAGGGATTTATAAAAGCTCTACAAGAGGAGTATATTTCTCGCTATAGCCTAGACATTTTGTAATATCAGTTTATTAATTTCTGATCCCTCAATTAATTAAAGAACACAATCAACTTCCAATCTTTATTGTATTCACAATTGTTTTACAAAACTTCAAAAGGTTAACACAATTATTCGATCGTTGAATACAAGCGACGCATTAGATACCTTACCTACTTGAATCGCTTAACATAGTTGCATGTTTGTTTCTTGCTACTCCAAGAGATAGTGTCATTATTAAGCAAAAATCCATATCTCAAAGTTGATTTGAGCTCTGTTGGGATCTCCACACCATTTAGCATTTGTGTATCATTTTAAGTACAAATTATTCCCTTGATAGCACAAGGAGTAAATAACTGGTAGTACCCTTTAGGCATCTCAATTATCTTTTAACAACTTTTCAATGTTCTTTTCCAAGATTTGATTTATACATGTTGATCGGACCAACGACATAAAAAATGCAAGAATGAGTACACATCATAGCGTACATTAAGCTCCCTACCGTATTGGAGTATGGTACTCTGGACATTTTTTCTTCTTTCTTAGGAGTTTTAGGACATAAGTGAAGATTTAGAGTTTCGCCTTTGGATACACAATTCTCTATTTTGAAACATTCAAGTATTTTCTTTATATATATGACTTTAGTGACAGAGTAAAAAGTCGTTTTGAATGATTTCTAATACTTAATATGTAATTCACTTCACCCATGTCCTTTATTTCAAAATTTGAAGACAACCATTTCATAATAGTTTTAATATATTCATTATCATTCCTAGTCAATAAGATATCATCAACGTAAATAGATAATACTATAAATTTCTCATTGACTTTTTTTAAATAAATATAATGATTCTCGTCCATCAAGACAAAATTGTACGCGATAACTGCTTTGTCAAATCTCAAGTATCACTATCTAGAAGATTGCTTTAGGCATTGATCTTTTAATTTACAAGCTTTATTCTTTCGACATGTTTTAATGAAACCTACTGGTTGTTGCATGTAGATATTTTCATCCAATTCTCAATTGAGAAAGATATTTTTTATGTTCGTTTGATGTAATTCTAAATTTAAATGTGCCAATATGACTAAGTGTAAGCGAATTGAAGTAAATCTCACAATGGGAAAAAGATCTCTTCATAAACTATATCCTTCTGTTGTGTATAATCCCTTGCTACCAAGCGAGCTTTATACATCTTTATAATCTCATCAGTTTTTCGCTTTATTTTGAGAATCCATTTGTTCCTAATAGCTTTCGTACTAGTTGGAAGATAACCAAATCCTAGACTTGATTGGACTTCAGAAGACTTAATGTTTTCTTCCATTGCAATTTTTCATTTTCCCTTTATAGGGCATGATAGAGCGTTATGTACTGATTTAGGTTCTTAATAATCTTCTGGAGATACCAGAAAAACTTGTCCTTCAATCTCAAAGTGACGTTTAAGCATATTGTTAAACTTCAAAAAGAAATTTGTTAACTTGGCTAGTTGTTCGCGAAGCGTAAAGCAACAAGCGATGGGAACGAAAGCATAGAAGGCTTGCCTAAAGCTTGAACATTTCTCTTAGCCAGGCCTATTACAGGTTGTTAATAAAAGGTACGTGGGCCAATGAATAAAGTGTGACTCCTATAAAATCAATTTTAAGGTATCTGCTCACGAAACATTTCTTTTAATTTTAAAATCCCACCGCAAGTGTACGGTTCGTTAGCAAGTAGTAAAATGGACTATGAGTCCAAGTATCGTTCTCACAAGGATTGAATTGGCTCTAATTAAACTAATGTGACCTTAACTGAATCCAATTGAATGAAAATTTGGTCTAAGTGTGAAAAGCCCTAATTTGGAAGAAACCCCCAATTTGAAACCCTAATTTTGAAGAAAACCCTAATTTCGAAATTGGAAACCCTAATTTCGAAATTTCCCTAATTAAATGACTCAACAACTCAATTAAAATGTAAATATGCAATTTTGGAAGTTAATGTATAGAAATAAATTGAAATAGAATCATTAGGATCTCGACTCCCCAATTGATTACCAAAAACCCTAATTTCACAAATTCAATGAATCGATGGAAAAATGCCAATTCAGTGTTCCTAAACTTATTCAATATACTCTCTCGATATATATTAAACCTACTCTTGCATACCACCAGTCTATATTTCTATGGATGATGCAAATATACAAGAATGCATGAATTTCTATGAACAATTAACGAATTGCATAAAGCATAGGGGTATATTTCTATCCCCTATCGGACCCTATGTTGATTTATATTTTTTCGAATCTATTTCACTTCTCTCGAATGTAAGAAATAAATCATCTAATACATGGCCAATAATTATGGATGCAATGAAAACATATATATCAAGCATATTATCCAAATGAAACTTTATATTGAATTCATGAGATATAAGAATTTAATAGTAATCAAAGGTTCATCGATCTCCTAATGAATTTAAAACCCTAGCCTACAATCATGATTACTGAATCAAGAAATAAAAATGAAATTAAAAGATATAAAGAATACACCCGTATGAAAATCCTTGTTTTCTTGTATGAAATCTTGAAATCCTTCTTCAATCCTTGTGAAATCAACCCAAGATTGTGTTTTTGTGCCTCCAATTCGTCTCTCTGGTCGTTCCCCCCTCTTCTGGACATATTTTCGTATCTTATATCGCGTCCAAATTAGGTTAAAAAAAAGAGTTGGAGTCGAAAAAGGAAACTGCAGAAACGCCCCGAAATTATACCTATGCGACCGCATAGAAGGATCCTATGCGGTCGCATAGGTCACTTGAAATTCACCAATTTTTCCCTGCATCCATCTATGCGACCGCATAGATGGTTACACTATGCAGTCGCATAGTTTGGCCATCTATGAAGTCCCTTCATTTTGGTCCCCGAACTTTTCTTGTTGCTTCTTTTGACTTCTTTCTTCGATTTCTTCATCTTTTCAACAAATTTTATCCTCCAATTGATTATTGACACCATCAAATCTCATGCCACTCATTCGGCTCATCTTTCGAGTATTTGTGCTTTAGTCCTCCAACTTTCAATTGTCTTCATTTCAGTCCCTCTTCAATACTTTCTCTCTCCAATTGTTTTGCTTTGTCCTTAAGCTCATACTCGGCATGTTGTTACTCTCGTTTTGCATTTAGCTCAACTTCTCAATATTTGCACCTTTGGTCCTCGAACTATCACTTTGTTGCGTTTTGGTCCTTCTTCGGCTCTTTTCTTCTGAATTCCACAATTTTCATTGAAATACCTACATTGCATGAATTTAACTAGATTAAGTCACAATTCAACCATTTTATCCATGTTTAAGTCAAGTTTGTGAACCAAATAAGTGTGTAAAAACATACTTATCAGTATCCAATAAGGAATCGACATACATTTTCCTAAAATGACTAAATTGCCCCTAAACTTGAAGGAAAATGTATAAATACCCCATCATTTGAGGAAGAATTAAGGTAGTTCAAATATCTCTCTCCCAAATAACCATTTCATCTTTAACTCCTGTTTGAGCATAAAAAATAGTGACATTTGGTGGTTGTAGGGAAGATTTCCACCGAAATCCAAGTACAAAACCGGGCTCAATTTACCAATTCATCAACACCACCAAGGTTGAGACAACTCCAAAACCACCACCACCGCCGTCCCACTCTGGTTGCTATAGGTTGGGGAAGGTGAAGTCCAATGATGTGCCCACTAAGAATTAACCACAAAGGTCACAGTGAAGTAAAGCAAGAAAACCGAGAAGAAAGTCTCACAAAGAGAAGGGAAATAGGCACACACAATGGAGGCCGAGAGGAAGACGAGATTATATGCTAAGTAAATGTCCAAAATAGGTAAGTTAGCTTAGGGTTAAATTGTGGACCAAAACAAGGCTCGACTCAATTAAAGTGGGCTTCAAATTAATAATATAGCCTTCCAAGGAAATGGGGCGAACCGTGAGCAACACTATTTAAAATAGGTTGCTTCGAACGGGCCATAACAATGTGGATTGTGTTGTCTCGATAATTGTGTCGATGTACTAGTCAATCATATGGCCAAGGCCAATTGATAATAAAACCGAGGTTACATCATAGCTCGAGAATGTCGTTTGACAACAAATTGCCTAACAACCTCCACCTAGATGTCAAAGGATTTGCAAAAGAAAATTGTCTCCCATTAGTGACACATCTAATAGAAAACCAATAAAATTGAAAATCATTTACTTGCACCAATGTTTAAAAGTTCCTTGCAATTCCTAAACTTTGCCAGTGGTAGTACCTTCGTCCCCAT